TGGGATCTCTTTCAGGAGGTGATCGGTGGATTCTTTCAATTTCTATTTTGCCCTCTGGTTCTAAAATATCAGGGCAGTTTTCCTTGATAATTTCTTGAAAGATGATGTCTAGGCTCTTTTTTGATCATGGCTTTCAGATAGTCCAATAATTTTTAAATATCTCTCCTGGATCTATTTTCCAGGTCAGTTGTTTTTCCAATGAGATATTTCACATTGTTCACATTATTTTTTCATCCTTTTGGATTTGTTTTACAGTGGCTTGATTTCTCATAAAGTCACTAGCTTCCAATTGCTCCATTCTAATTTTTGAGGAAGTATTTTCTTCAGTAAGCTTTTGAACTTCCTTTTCCATTTGGCCAATTTTGCTTTTTAGGACATTCTTCTCCTCATTGGCTTTTTGGACCTTTTTTGCCATTTGGGTTAGGCTATTTTTTAAGGTGTTATTTTCTTCAGTATTTTTTTGGGTCTCCTTTAGCAAGCTGTTGACTTGTTTTTCATGATTTTCTTGCATCACTCTCATTTCTCGTCCCAGTTTTTCCTTTACTTCTCTTACTTGTTTCTCAAACTCCTTTTTGATCTCTTCCATGGACTGGGATTGATTCATATTTTTCTTGGAGGCTTTGGATGTAGGAGCTTTGACTTTGTTGTCTTCTTAAGATTCTATGGTCTGACTTTTTTTGGACCTTTGTTTATTCATGATCCCCAGCAATTATTTGAGTTTTAAACTCTTTGTTAAGGTAGGGGTCTGCTTCCAGTGTGGAGAATGTACTGTCCCAAGCTTCAGGGGTTTTGTGCAGCTGTTTTTAGAGATGACTTCTAGGGACCTGTACATTTTCAGTTCTTCCAAGTAAACACCTCCAAGGCAGGGTGTTTACTTCTTTCCTGGGCTGTGCTCTCGTCTGTGAGTGACCACAAGCACTCTTTTCTGCCTTGGAACTATAAGGAGGATTTTCTCTTCACACCACCACTACAAGCTCCACCATGCCAGCACTCCTCCTCCCCCCAGGATTGCCACCCAGAACTGTGACTTAGATACAAGCATGGGCAAAGCGAGAGAATCCTGCACCAGCAGAGATATCACTGCAATTCCCTTCTGATCAGCCACTTGATTCCCCCTCAATCCATGGGCCAGAAGCTCTGGAAGCAGCTGCTGTCCCAGGGCCGAGCTCAGGGACTGGGGCTGGGACCACAACCATACTTCTCTCTCACCATAGTCACAGACTTTCCCCCTGACCTTTTAAGTTGTCTTTGGCATTCATGGGTTGAAAAGTCTGGAAACCACCAAAGCTGCCCAAGATTTAATCCTCTGAGACCTGCTCCGGGTTCACTGAGGCCTGCCTTGTCTGCGTGCCCATGCTGAACTGTGTTTCTCTCCCCACCCGGGGCAGTAGACTTTTCTGATCAACCATCCAGGCTCTCTTGGGCTGTAAATTTGTTTCACTCTGTCTTTTTGTGGGTTTTTGCTGCTTTAGAATTTGTTTAGAGCCATTTATTACAGCTATTTGGAGAAGTTTGGGGGAGGGCTCAAGCAAGTCACTGCTTTTACTTCTCTTACCGTTGTCTTACCTCTAATTAGATGTCTGCTGCTTCCAATCTCAACTCCCTCACCTCATTGCCAAAATTACCTTTGTAGGGCACAAGTCTGACCATCTTACTTCTCTGGTCCAAATCCTTCATTAGCAGTTTTTGGCTTTCAAGACCCTTCAAAACCTGAATGTCACCTACTTTTCTAGCAGGTTTTGCATTAGTCCCCTTCATGCCCTCTTTTCCTAAACAAACTGGACAATTTAATAGCAGTTCTGCGAACTCAACTTTCCATCTCTTTCTTCTCTGCATTTCTATTAGTTATCCCCTGTGCCTAAAAGGCACTCTTTCCTCATCCCAGTCTTTCAGAATCCTTATCTTGCTTCAAGATTCAACTCACTTAAAAAATCCTCAAGTAAAGCTTTCCACCAACCTCCTGGTTAATTATCATATGTTGTATCATATACAATTATCATAAAATTACTTAATTTGTAAACTGCTGTATTTCCCCAGTAAGCCCTTCAAAGGTAGAGTCTGTTCTGTTTTTGTCTTTGTTTCTTTAGTGCCTTGTACATAGTAGGAACAGTGTTTATGAATTGAATTGAATCACTTTATGAAAAGTCTTCCTTTATTACATTGAATTGAAAGCTCAGAGTCTCTACTGGATAATAGTGGAAAGCTTCAAATGGAGGATTCCAATGGGCAGGCTATACCTTGATGTTGTGGTTTCATGGTGTGTTGTGGCAGCACCATCTCGAAGAATTCAGTCAGACCACCTCTAATCCAAGTATAGGCATTTATTGAGGATTGACATCCCTCAGAAGTGGGCTAGGTTCCAAGAGGAACCAACAATTTAGTAAGACCACACAGGCAAACTTATAGAGTAATGTTGCTGATTACACAACAGAAATTACGAATATTACAAAGGCAGGAGGGGTTTGTTAAGGGATTAGGTAATGGGGAGGGGTCCCTTCTGTGGTTCAGTGGTCCAACATCCTGGTAGTGCTGCTTTCTGATTGGCTAGCTATTGTGATACTATCTGGTCAGGGTGGATAGTTAGGTGTTGTGGTCCTGTGTTGGGCTAAATGGATGATGTGATTATGGTTGAGTACAAGGACACACCTGTTCAAGTATGTGAATTAGATCTTAGGGCTGTGGCTAGCTAGAGACAGTGGCTTTATTGAGTGGAGGGGCTTGAGGTGTACTTAAAGCTAGATTAAAATAGAACCTGTCTATTGTTCAGTGGGGCCCATAAGGAAGTTAGAACATTAAGGCTGGGGGACGCTTTTATTAGGATTCCATCAGTGAGAACACAAATGTTACTAGCTATTTGTGGACTAGGGATGTGTAGTATAATTTTCCCTCTCCTACAATAAACATTTCTAACCTGGGGTGTGTGAACTTGTTTTCACAAACGTATTTTTGATAACTGTATTTAATATTGTTTCCTTTGTAATAATATGTATTTTATTTTATTTTATACATTTTAAAACATTCTGAAATTATTATTATGGATCCTTATTCTTGGCTTTCCCACACTGCTAAAGGAGTGTATGATGCAAGAAAATGTTAAGAAACCTGTCCTGGAAGATTCACCTTTGTGAGAAATTATTATTAATAACCAATATCTTAGGGAGATTCAGAGGCTCTCCCCCTTCTTCTAAATTCCTCATTTTAAAAGTTCAATTTTTCTTAGGAAGGACATTACTGATAATTAAATTGCATTAACTCTTCTATATCTTGCTCAAGGCCCCACCCTGGTGGAAGCTATTGTGTCCTGCTCTTTGAATTCTTTGAATTGATAGTCTAAAGCTATGGGTGCCCTGGTATAGAGATATTTTCCTTATCCAAGAGATACTCAGCCCTTCATTTTAATATAGTCCCCCTCTGGTCACATTAACCAATTAGATTTGATTGCTGTTTGATGGACCACCTACTGTTCTGAAGGTTAAATAAACTGTGAGTTGGCTCCATGATTGTCTTTGGTCTAAGAGAAGACCAAATGACCATCCTTTTATTAATAACTTGCTGGCCTTATTAATAAAATGATTAAATTACCCGGAAACTGTGTCTCTCAAACCTTTTTAAATGTCACACCTTATGTTCCTTTGAGCTAACATTAAGATTGTTTTTCATTAACAGAGAGAAGTACTACTGGTAGCATGAGACAAAGAAAAACCAGTCTAGAATTTAAAATGTTGATGGTTAGTCCCTAAAAATATATAATGAACAAGTTTATTAATTCTCCTAGAATATTATGGCTGGATAGGACTTAAGAGAGTTGTTGTGATCTGCCCCATTTCACAGGTGAGGAAACAAAGGCCTAGAAAGTTTCAGAAACTTGACCAAATTTCTGCCTTTATTAAGTAGTGTAGACTAGAACCCAGATCTGTCTCCCAAGCCTGAATATATTCTTTCCTCACTTCTGCCTCATAGAATCCTTACCTTCCTCCACCATTTAGCTCAAGCTAAATTTCCTATATGAGGCCTTTCGTGATCCCACGTATGCTAGAGCTGTCCCTCAAATTACTTGTTATTTTCTCCGTGTGTGTGTGTGTGTGTGTGTGTGTGTGTGTCTGTGTGTGTGTATACATAGGGATTCCCCTAATATAAAAGAACCCCATTAAGGTCAGGGACTTTTCTATTTTTGTCTTTGTATCACCAGCATCTACTGTGGTTCCTGTCACATCATGGTTGCTTAGAAAATGTATGCTTATTGACTTCCTGACTCCTAGTCCAGTCATCCTCTCACCAGGTCTAGCTGGTTGAGGCCTACTAACTGAGTTACTTTTAGTTACTGGCAGGGTGTGCTGGCTGGAACCAGCTCCAACCACTTGTGAGAGCTGATTGTTAAAATTTCAGTATGACTATTTGCACTTCAGAAATTGGCAATTGCTACAAATCAAGACTTGATTTCTGATATTGTTAAAAATGTTAACAATAGGAATTTAACGTGTAAGAGTGTATGCATACATTCCCCACCCCCCTCCAGAGGGCCCAGTTGTTAAATAGTTACCAGTACACCCCTGTATTGTTGCCTAGAGCCTAGCAGGAGTGCAGTAGAAGCCTCAGAGTCCAGGCTGGAGGACTCTAATAATATTGCTGATAATAACTGATATTTACATATCGCTTTGAGGTTTGCAAAGTGTTTTACATCCATCATCTCATTTGAGCCTCATAGCATTCCTGGTTATTGGCCACAAATTCAACAACTTTAACAATCATTCATGAAGCACTCACCCCTGTGCAGAATACTATGCAGAAGAGTCGAGTATTTATTTTCTCTAAGTAATGTAGTTGTTTTGTTGTTGTTGTTGTTGTTTTGATTATAAAGCTTACAATCATCAGAGCAAAAGACAGACATGTCAGTGTTTTCATGGTATGTAAGTGACCCAAAGCCTAGACATTTTAAAGTATTCCAGGATTTAAAAAGTCTGACTTTCACTTCTGGGTTTTTTGTTCTATTTTTGGTGCAGATTTTGGAGTTACAAATGCAAAGTATAATGGAAAAGAAAATGAAAACTAAGAAAAGTCTTGCAAAGCAATTAAAGGACAATCCATCATTAATTACCTTCTTCTGTAAAAACTGTGGTGTGATGGCCTGTTCTGGAGAAAACATCCAAGTGATTGAGGACATGCATCATGTCAACATGACACGGGAATTTAAGTAAGCGTCTCCCAATTAATATTTGAGGTTTTTCTTGAAGGGTGCGTTGTAGTTTTAATCATAGATATTTTTAAAATGCATTCAGCATATGTTGATTACAAGATTTTCTGTTCTCCACTCTCCCACCCTTCCTAAAGTTCTAAAACAATCTTTTAGAGAAAGAGTTGTTCTGATTAAAAACAAAAAACAAACCAAACCAAATACCCCCTTTTCTCTGTAAGTGAATGTGTAACTAACATAGAACTTAGCTGCTAGTCATTGCAACAGTGCAATGATACTCTCTCCCCACCCAAAAAAAAAATCTGGGATATTATTCTAACTCACCATATCTCTAGGACAAGGCCACATGTGGCCTTCTGGGTCCTCAAGTGCCTCAGGTACTCCACTCCTGCTGTAGGATATCTCTGCCTGTTTTTCAGAACTATGTTAGAAGTTAAATTAGTTACAATCTTAATTTCATGGCGTCATTTAAACAATGAAATACCTAAGTAGACTTTTTGGGATACCACCCAACAAGTGATCATTCAGTCTTTAATCTAAATCAAGTTCAGTGTCTTTGAAAACAGCAGGCATGTAGACTGCACAAAGGCTCTAATGTTTGTTATTAAGAATCTAATGAGATCCCTTGGGTGTGACACGGTAGTGGGTACTATACATTTATATTAAATAATATATGTGATTGCTTCAGATAGATTCATAATCAAATGTGGAAGATTAAAAAAAGAACACAGTCTTAGAATTGTGAATTGGATTTTAGAAGTGAAAGGATCATGGAAATTGGTATGGCATGGTGCAAAGCCATGGAGTCAGGAAGCCTTAGATTCAACACAACTTCTGATATTTACTTGCTTTGTGAAATAAGGAAAGGTGCAGTCTTCTAGCCTCAGTTTCTTCATGTGTAAAATGAAAATAATATCTGTATTATCTACTTCACAAAATTGTGAGATTCACATGAGATATGTAACGTACTATCAGTATCTTTGCCAAGAAAACCCCAAAAGTAGTGACAATGTGTCGGACATAATTGAAACAGCTGAACAGCAACAAAAATGCCATATAATTGTCAGCTATTACCATTATTTTCTAGTGCAGTCCCTCAGTTTATACAGGAGGAAACTGAAGACAGGAGAAGTTAAGTGACTTGTTCACTGCAGTGAAGCTAGTGCAAGGCCAGTGTGTGAATATAGAGTGCACTTGGGGAAATGAGCCTCAAAACTAGTCAAAGAAAACGTTCAGGAAATCTGAGCAATGCTTTTAAGATTGGAGGGATGTCTTTTGGTAGAGGGGAGAAAAAAAGCTGTCTGAGGTATTCAGAAGAACTTGAGTAAATGTTGGAAAATAAAGGCCACTGTAGGGAACATGAAGTTATGTTTCTTGATTGAAGAAGAATATCTGGGATATTGTATACAGACTGATACTTGGTCTGGCAGGGCAAAGCTCTAATACCCATTCAGACTTAGCAAATGCAAAAGTACTTGATTGATATATCCCTTGTCAAATTTTAGGAAACTCTACATCGTAAGAGAAAATAAAGCACTTCGAAAGAAATTCACAGACTATCAAACAAACGGTGAGATCATTTGCAGTCAGTGTGGCCAGGTAAGCCTGTTGTTTTTGTCATTTTTCAGCCAACAATCAGACTTCATATACTATGTATATAACTTATGCCTTTTCTTTTCTTTTCTTTCCAGGCCTGGGGAACTATGATGGTGAACAAAGGTTTAGACTTACCTTGTCTCAAAATAAAAAATTTTGTGGTGGCTTTTAAAAATAATTCCCAAAAGAAACAGTACAAAAAGTGGGTGGAATTGCCCATGATGTTTCCAAAGCTTGACTACACAGAACATTGTATGTTTAGTGATGAAGATTAACATGGACTTGATATTCTCTAAATTCTTTAAACTTTATATTTTTACAAAGAATACAGTCATATTTTTGCAATGATTGTACCAGAGCATTGGGAGAATGAATGAGAACATTTCTTTAAATCATTTTGAGCTCTTTGAAGAATGATATTCTGTCAGTTTTCATATTATCCATGTTATTAGTGAGCAGATGAAAAAAGAATCCACAAAGCCATATTTGATTAATATAGGAGCTAGCATCACATAATGCTGAGAAACTTAGAATAGGCTTGGTTTGTAACTCACTACCCTAGTATTTTCTGCGAGGGTCATGACAATTGGCAGGAAAATTACCAAAAAAGACAGAAACTCAGAAGGAAAAGAATCGAAAGAGACAAGTCTTAGCAAATCAGGATCTAAATAAATAAGACATTCTTATATATCAGTCAGTGCTATTATTTATTCCCAATTTTCATTTCCTCATCTCTGCTAATATATACAGCAAAGAGATAATGTTTGCCTCTTTCTTTTCAGGAGTAGCAACCTTCTTGTGGCCATTCCACTCTCACATTTCCTAGTTCCCATAAAAGCCAATGAGAACAAGCAAGCATTGGTTATGTGGGTCATTGAACATTCCCTGAGCAGACAGAACAACCCCAGTTAAAAACACTCCTCCCTTTTCCTCAAAAAAAAGTGAGGACCAGCAACTATAATCGGTTTTTGTCAATGAACGATAATTACTGAATTACATTAGCTGGCTTGCTACAAGAGTACAGTTCTCTCCTGATATATCAAGAAGAGAAATTTTGGCTACTTACTGAAGATTCTTCCTTCTTCTCTACTTCAGTTTAGAGACATAAACTTGATTAGCATCATGTTCTTTTGATTTTTTTTGATGATATCTAGATCTGTATGGATATTGATTAACAATATTTATCATATGAAATGCAAAAAGGATAAGTTAAGCTATTCTTCCCCTCAAAAAAATGCCTCCAAAGAACTCCTACAAGCTATAGAGGAAGTAGAATAGTCTTTAAGTGGCCTCTGGAAACTGTACAAGAATTTATTGTTGTTTAGTCGTTTCAGTTATGGGAAGCTCTTCGTGACTCCATTTGGAGTTTTCTTGGCAAAGATACTTGAGTGGTTTGTTATTTCCTTTGCCAGTTCATTTCATAGATGAGGAACTGAGGCAAACAGGATTAAATGACTTCTCTAGCGTCACACAGCTAGTAAATGTCTGAGGCCAGACTCTTAGAAGATGAGTCTTCCTGATTCCAAGCCTAGTGCTCTATCCACTGTACTACCTAGCTACGTCTGTACAAGGGTAACAAAACATAAAAATAGCTAAGTGAATTGCTATGAATTTTTGAAATATCAGTAAACATCAGATTTTTTTCATCTAGGTTTCCCAGTGATTTCTTCAATTCAAAAATCAGTTGTTTTTCAAAAATCTCAAGATACATATCTCAAATATTCCAAATTTTTATGTATAATAGTGCCTAAAAATGAAAATTGGTGGTGACTGACATTTTATTCAGAAAGAAAAACTAATCTTCATTAATTTTCATACTTATTATTGCTGCTATTGAATAGTAAATGTCCAGAAGCATGTTAGACACTTTATAGAACATGCACATACATTATCCCTGTCCTACAAATGCAGTTCTCTTAGGTTGATTATGCTATTGGTGAAATATCTGCAAAGTACAATTCCACATTGGCATTTTATCATGTTTCACAAGAGAGGAAAAAAAGTGTACATGGGGGGAAAATCTATTGCACTTTCTACTACTTTTATACACATATATTTTATTTGTCTTACACTGCAGTGTGTGTGTGTGGTATCTTAAACGGAATTGTAAGCTTCTTGTAGACTTATTTTTCAAGCATTCATTAAGCAACTCCTATGTAGGTATGAACTGTGCTGATATTTGCATCTCTCTTCTAGCTCAGTGCATTGCACGGAATGGAAGCTTTAGAATGGGGTTCTTAACCTAGAGTCAATGAACTTTTAAAAGCATTTTAATAACTGCATTTCAAGTAATCATTACCTTTGTAATCCAATGTAGTTTACTTTATGCCATTACAGACATTCTGAGAAGGGATCCATTGGCTTCACTACACTGCCAAAAAAAGTCTGTGACCCAAAACAGGTCATGAAGCACTGCTTTAAAATAGAAAGAAGTTCCTTAAGAGCAGGAATTGTTTAACTCTTTGTTTTTGTAGGCATAGAACCTAGCACAGTGCCTGACACATAGTAGGTCTTTAATAAATGCTTGTTGATTGACTGATGAATGCTTAATTGGAAGTGTGCATGATTGAGCCTGTAGTGTTTTATTTTCATTTTGTAGTAATGGTGCCATATCACCCCAGTGTAAGTCACAGCAAAGAAAATAGCTTATTAACATCTAACAAGGATGCACCATTTGTGTACATTTTTCCTTTTGCATTTTTGATTAGATACAATTTCACCTTATTGCCCATTCTCAATAAACCTTGTATAAAGATGGGTAGTCCTAGATTTCAGGTTGCTTAGATGAATATAAGGAGGAATTAAAACCGTTGAGGAAAGAGATCTAAAAAGGAAGTACGGTGACAGAATCTTTCAAGGAACCACAGTTCTCAGGGTTATTCTAGAGAAATTGCAAACTGATCTTTGTTGATCCCTAGCTTCCTTCCAAGCACAACTCAGGTACCACCTCTTCTATAAGGCCTTCCCTGATTCCCCAAATTATTTGCACTTTATCCTTTTTGAAATTACTTTGTATTTACTTATTTTTGTATATGTTATTTCCTCCAGTAGAATGTAAACTCCTCAAATCTAAGGATTGTTTTATTTTTATCCTCTGTAGTAGATAATAAATGTTGGTTGAATTAAAATGAATTACTATTTCCATTAGTCTAAATGTTCATTTTGTAACACAGACAATGTTAAATTATCATGTGATATTCAATGCTCAGGTACTGTTTTCAAATTCTTACTTTACCTAGAAGCTAGATGCTTGCTCAAGAAACTAGCAGAATTTTAAAGGAACTACCCACATTAAAAGAAAAAATGAATTATAGACTAAACATGGAACTCATAAATTTGTTTTGTAAACTGTGTTGATAGTGGCATTTTAGATTGGTATCCTTTGTAATCCTATGTATTCTATATATTTAAAAATATTTTTCTGAGAAAGGGTTCATAGGCTTCCCCAAACTGCAAAAGGAAACTGGGACCCACAAAAGGGTTAATAACTCCTGGATTCAGTCATTACCCGTTGTAGCTATTATTCAGATATTTATCCTAGCACTTGAGGGAGTCTCACACTCATGCCTTTGTGATCACGAATAGAAAAATTTCTGTCACTTTCATTAATAAATAATTATTGAGCATCCATAGGGGCTAACTGGATCTATGAGGTTTGAAAAGTTTTAATCAGATATGGTCTTTGTCCTCTAGTACTTGTAATGACTATTTTGTTGATCTAGCCAAATAGTAATGGAAAAGCATTGAGCTTCAAAAAAGAGTAGTCAGATATTAAATGGTGAGGAGTATCAATATGAGAAAATTTCATTTCTTTAAATTTCTTTAGAGTGCAGAATTCATTGTTAACCAAGCAAGTAGAATTTGGCCATTCTAGTCCAGGTTCCCATAACCTCTGGCATGGACCACTGGAATAGCCTCCTGATTGTTTTCCTTCTCATTTTTTTTTTCTAATCCATCCTCCACATGGCTGTCAAAGTGATTTCCCTAAAGCACAAGTCTAACTTCCATAAGTAAACTCCAATGGTTCTCTACTGTTTCTAGGATCAGGTTTCTAGGATCTAGGATTTTGGTTCATATGAAGCCCTTACACAACACTATGCTAATCCACCTCTTTAGTTTTATTATACAGTACTCACTTCACACACAGCCAAACCAGCCTTACTGGTTCTCATGGGACACTCCATATCTCATCAATCGTCATGCTCGTCCCCTGTACCTGGAATTCACTCCCTCCTCAGCTTAAGCACCAAATAGACAAACTTCCTTGCCAGAGTCTCACTCCTAGCTTAATGCCTCCACCTCTCCCCACTTTTTAAAACTGTTTGATAAATACCTAAGTATGTATATTCTGTGTCTCCCAACTGGTAGTTCCTTGAACTGTTTCACTTTTTGACTTTGTATCTTCAGTACCTAACCCAGCACCTGACTCAGGGTCCATCAGTGTTCTGATTTGTTAGAGTAAGGAATCCCCTGAAGTGGTCCTGTGGATTTGAATTTGCACTATGCAAATTTTAACTATGAAAATATAGTAATTAGTTCCAGCCCAGTGGAAATACATATGCCAATTCGACTAATATGAACACTTCAAGGAATTTATTTATTCATAATAATTGGGACTTAGCTAATAAATGCTCATGGTCTGATTGATTGTCTTTGATATGTTTTTGAATTCCATACTTCATATTGTTTTAAGTCATTGGTTATTAAAAAAGAATAATAATAAAAGCCAAAGAGGAGATTTGTAGTTCTTTAAATTTTTAGATGTTTGCTACCAAATGTGTCATAAACTCCTTTTCTTTTTGTTATGTTTACTTTTGATCTTTTGGCATGTGGGTTTTATTTATTCACCTCTTGCAATGACATTCTCTTATTTGCTTATACTGAGACCTTGAAATCATTTTTGATTTCTCCCTTAGCTCATCCTTCATTCTCTAAGTCCTATTGATTTTACCTCTGCGATAAAAATCCTATCTCTGACATTTACTGAATGAGTGACTCTGGGCAAATAAATCCCTTATCCTCCCTGTGATTGAGTTTCCTCATCTGTAAAATTTAGGGGTTGGAGTCTATGGAATCTAAGGTCCCTTTCAGCTTTAATCTTTGATCCTATGATCTTGTGATCTGACATCCAATCCTCTCCCTTTCTTTACAACTTGCCTGCTCAACCCCTTGAGTACCTCTTAACTGTTTGCAGCAATAGCTTCTTAGCAGATCTCCCCACTTCCAACCAATCTTTTCTTCAACCCATCCTACACCCTACTGTCAGGTTAGACTCCCTAATGCCCAAGTCTGATCACAATCTATCCCCCAAACTGCCCATACTTTGTTCTTG